TAGCAGCCTGTTAGTCCTGCTATAGTCATAGGCATTAAGCGGGACAGAGCTTAATAAAGCTGGATCTCTGGGTTCCCCTCTCGGCAGGTGGGCTATGGGGGACCCCGCGCCCTGCAGCAGCGCGCTGTAGCGCGGGCCCTTCCCCCTGGGTGTAGCCCGCGTTATAGCAAGGCTCCAAGGACTGATCTTTTGGACTGCCTGGCTAGCTAGGGTGCCTGCCTCCCCCCCCGCCCCACATTACCTTTACAAGGCTCCAGAGGAGAGAGTACATAGTACAAGGTTGAGATTTGGGAATATTAACTCTTTACTGGGCTTTCAGCCTTCTGAGTGGAAAAACAACATTTCCCTCCCCCTTCGTAAATGAATCGCCCTTCTGCCAGACGCTGCTCTCGAATAACGAGATCTCATGCGTTTTTTAAAACAATAATAACTAGTAAAACAATGGTTAAGAGTTGCAATGAGCTTTCACTACAATAGTTCACCTTTGCAAAAACCAATTGACTGAGTCTATTTTGCAGTAAGATTGTTCTTTCTGGAGATGGCACGTTTCAGTGAACTGGGTTAGTCTGGGAAGGTTAAGAGGGGAAAGAGGAGAAGCTGGCAATCGCCTTTATTTAGAGCAAAATGGATTTTGTCCGGAGCCTGAGTCTGTTTCAAACCCTAGTGACTGAAAACAAAGGTGAGGAGTGGTAGTTTTATCTGTCTAAAGTTCAAATATGTGAAATCTCAATGTGAGTTTCTGTTTGAGACGAAAAAGAGAAACACGAATAGTACGGAATGGCTGGGGCTAATGACTTATCTGTCCTTAACTGTTACTTTGTCACAATGGGAAGAATAATTGGTGAGAATTAACCAGCGAGAGTAAAGACAGGTTTCCTTATCATCAGTCACCCTTCGCTTTCAGTTCTTTATTTAACTCTTGGCCCTCTGGAAATGCATTATACGGAGCTTTAGACCGACCTTACAAATTAAAGAGACCGTTCCGTCTAAATGTATGAGCTGCTGTTCTGCGTTTGCAGGGAGACTGAGACACCTGTGCTTCAATTAAGAAAAATGACCTCTGTTTTGCGGCATCGACCGTGGAATTCAAATCAGTGAACTCATTGCCATGTTTATGTTTACTTCTTCACTGGAATAAAACATGTTACAAAATTGGGGTTTTGCCTTAGGAAGGGAGAATCAATTAGAAACGACACATACCACTCAGCAATCCCAATATAATGCCAGTTTGTTCCTTATACCTGTGGGTGGGTGTGTTTCAATGTCTCTATAATAGAAACAGGTGCATATTAATTATATATTTGTATATACATACACACAATTCGTGGATATATATACATCTCTAAGGAAAATCCCGGTCCCACAATCGGTGAAGGTGGCTTGGTTCGCATGAAATCAGAGCTATTAGTCCGATCCTGCATTAACTAACAACTGTATGTTTAACAAGTGTTTTTCTTTCCTTGTAGTTTTTAAATAGTTTTTTTTTCCGGATGAGTCCCTCCTTCCCCTCCCCCCAATCTAGAACCACTAGTTATCATACTGGAAACAATTACTCTGTGCTACTTCCATCACGTGTTTTATATACAATATTGAAGCAAAATCAACACACATTCAATTGATTTTTTTAAAGGCTAGTTATAGTTGCACTTGCTTCGGGAGACACTGCTCAGCCTCGACTGATCACAAATCATTAAAAAGTCAACTCAGTCTCATCATTTTTAAACGTGTGGAAATAATGTCAAAGCACAAATGCGTTTTAAACAGATATGCCAGGGTGTTTTCCCCTTCTCTTTATTCAAACACCTAAAGTTAAGACAAACATAACATAAAATTCTGGGGGGAGGGGGGGTTATATTTGATGTCGCATTTTTATCAATTCCTTTCAATAAGTAGCCAACCTCCAATTACTTTTCCATTGCAGATATAATTATTGACCTTCTAGACAGAGACAGCAAACACCAGACTCCTGTATTCTTTTCCTAATTCGGAGGCGTCCCCCCATATCCCCACTCCGACTTTTTTTTTCTAATTCCTTCTCACAATTTCATTCTTCTTCACTAAAAAAGGAATGAGCATTTCTGTGCTGGGGGAGGGGGGGCGATCCCGCTCACATCGGAATCAGGAGTAAAACCCCCAATCGACCTTTGCTCGGAATAAGATTCCCTCAGTCTTTTTTGAGGTAAGGGAGAAAGAAAGTGCTTCCTTTTACACCTGCGACAGTCTGGGCGTGAATGTTTCTGTTCATTGCTCATAGAATTTGCCAGGATCCCAGTTACTTCAGCGTTTTAAAAAGGCTTAAATTAAAAAGTACGGACACTCTTTTACGTTGTAACAGAAGCCCAGGGTCCGATCCAAAAATCAAATTCAAATTAAAAAATGTCCATGCAGGGAAGCTCGGTTGATTCCCAAATTTAGGTCTTTGACACTACGTAAAATCCACTTAGATCTTCTAAGAGGTCCAGTCATGTACTGATTACTGCCCGCTTACATTTAATTAAGTTAAAAGAAGCCGATGGATGCCAGCAGTTGCAGCTTTCCAGCACGTGGCTGGTTAAAGATAATTGCCTTTTCAGAGAGGCAGAAATTTCCTGATAAACGGGAATAGTGTCCGAAACGCACGGCGGGTCTCAACATGAATTTTCCCCTCTCCTAGGCTAAAGCACTGGACATTGGGATATAGGTAGACCCTGAGCTGTAGAGTTACCTGGATCCCGGCAGAACTAGTTACTAGCAGAACATAACTGCTGCTATTTTCTCGTATGAATATTGTGGCTTGGTGGTTCGCAGTCTTGCCCAGGCAATCCTGGTTTCAGTTTATTTTGAGGTTGCTGCTGAACGCTTCATGAGTAGGGGATTAAAGTGCAGCAGCTACAAGAGATCCAAAGAGCTGAGAGGCGAGCAGAAAGCAGCCGACTTCGCTGCCTTCTGTTGACTCTAAATCTTGAACGGAGCACAAAAAGCTGCCTTCGCTCTCTTGAAGGAAACACTTTTTCCTTGCTGGCCACGTACCAATCTTCTGCAGTTAAATAGTTTCCCCCGAGCGGTCACTATTTCTCAGTCATAGAAAAGAGAGAGAGTCTACTATTATTTCTAATGTAAATCCTGGAAATATCTGCCACTTAGAGCTGACTGCATGCTTTATCTGGGCATAACTTTGAACCACAATGGCCTAGTTAATACACGTTGTTAGACACACCCCAAGTATTTCTTCCAGGTCAATTACATGCAGTCTGTGTCCCACAATTGATGTCTGAATCCTGCTGTCTTACCGCTGTAGGTCAATGTAGGTCTGTGCACAGACCTAAAGCATTCATCAATGATTCCGTTCTGAAGTGGCATATTATCTATAGGTCTGTTCCATGGAAGACTGTTGAAGTCTTCCTGAAAACCGGTTTGATCCTGAAACAGGCAAAACTCCCATTAACAGAGGAAAGACTCAGGAACAGGGCCCATCAAACCTGGTGCCCAGCAACCTGCAACGCCTACTGCCTGCCCCGGCGCTCGCCGGCATTTAGCACTTCTGAAAAGCAGACGAGTATGTCTCGTCTTATGCGATGGGACAGCAAAATAGTGTCATCAGGATAGTCTGCTAACCTCCTGAAGCAGCGTAACCGTGCCTTGCATGTTGTTCTAGAGTACAGGATGGGTCGTAGGAAATCTCTAGTTGATCAAATATACAATTGTAGCAAAATGTGAGGATTTGATTTATTTCAGTGGGTGGCCAGTGTCTGGACGATCAAACTGCTTTAAGAAGCCCAGCGCGGGGGGCTACGTGTATATTTTTCTTTCCTTCCTCGCTGGGCAGTCGGGTTTGAGGGATCTGTTTTGCTACGGGATTTCTGGCCCCCTTTCCCCTTCCCTCACCAATTTAGTTTCCCCGACCAGTCAGGGGGCAATTGTGTGATAATTAAGAGAATTACAGTTCTTTTGTCTCGCGTTCTTGGATGAAGTGGGTTGATCAAAGTAAAAGCTGTTCAAGTTCAAACCCCTCCCGATGATGCAGTTCACACAAACAAGGGCTTGCTGGGGATCCATGTTTGCCAGGGCTGCTGCTGTTATTATTGATGTCTGGAAACTGAGCCTAGCATCCAAGGAGATGAATGATTTCTGTGGGCTAGAGCAGCGCTTTTGGTGTGAAGTTGCATGTAGGAGATTTTCTTCAAATGTAATAATGACCAACAGCATGAGGTCTGGAAACCGCGTCGTTGGAAGAATCGGGGCCAAAAAAGGGGGGTTTGCTCAGGCAATGCTATAAACCTGTTTCCTTGTGTACTGCTGATAGTTGTGCTACATTTCAGTACAAAGAGAAATACACGCTCCATGCGTATCTATCTGTCCACCAAAACCAACGTCCTTCAGTTAATGCTTAGGATCCGCGGTAAGAAAGAGAGGCATCTTTTGTTAAATGAGTTCCAGGATCCACAACTGGACTCGGAAATATCTGCATAAATTTCCCATTGCTACAGATTAAACAGGCAACGGATTGCACTGAGATCGGATTACATTTAAATTAAGAAAATAAGCGTGGAGGTTTAAAATGGAAATACTGTGTGAAAGGTTAGTTTTATTTTTTCTGGTATCCTGTAGGGTACCGAGTTCTACCAGCCGGTTGGTTTAGTCCCTAAAATGACATTTCACTCTACAGGCTAAGAATATTGCTACCCGAGGAATTCTTTAAAAAAAAAATAATGACAAAAGAGATTCTATATAGCTTTCGTTCCAATGATTTTTCCCCCAAAATGAATATTTAATTTGGTCATGCATGAATATGTTTATTGCTGTATTCAATACCAGTGTATTCGAGTGTAATAGCTGTCACACACACATATATACAGTTGTATAGTCGGCAAACCCGCTCCTGCCCCGTGGGGTTCGAATCGTTAATAATAAAAATATTTTTATTTTAAGGTATCCTTCCTTTCTAATACCCCTATTTTTATTTGGTATAAACCTGAGTTATCCTTCCACCGTATGCAATTCAAAGAAAATAGCAGAAATCGTTCATTGTTAACATTCGATTTATTTAAAGTCCTTAACTGCAAATAATCAAAAACATACTTCACGGCTTAAATTCTCAGTTATCATTTTAAATCAAAATATTTTTTGAATTACAATCACATTTATAAAATTAACTATTTTTTAAAGTCACGTGTAATTTTTTTTTACTGTCATTTAAAGCAATTTCAGCTGTAAAGAAAGAAAATATAAACCATGCAATAAATTAAGAACATTGAGAAAGCGAACAGGAATAATAATAAAACCCGTCTGTCTATGCTAACACCGTGTAAAACTGTGGAAAGTGCATTAACACTGGATGAAACAAGCTACCCATGGCAATAATTGAACGGCCACAACATATTTTGGAGGCGTTATCATGAAACTGAATTGCAAAGGAGAGGGAGATCTCCTCTTCCCTCGGGTTGGCTTAATAGGCAATATTTTTTCGGGGGGCGGGTGGGGATAACTTTATACATATATCGTTCTAGTTTGTACACGATGAAAAGACTCTGAAATTAAATAAGCATGTCATCCACATGTTGAAGAGAGTTCCTGATGGATGAGAATCTGCAGTAACAGCTCCGGAGGAAAAAAAAATATCCGACTGGCTGTGACCTCTGTATCTATATTACATCCCAAGCCACCTCACACTTGGAAATCTAAGGACTGGCTCCTGCCCCCTCCGCCCTCCCGCTGGCACCCGGGCGAGTGCAGGAGCCGGCCCCGGCCTGCGTGCGCGTGTTCTCCTCGCCCGAGGGGGTGCAAGTATGAAAAGGATGATCTGAGAAAGTAAACAGCCCCCTGTTTCTGAGGGGAGAGTGTGTTGCTACTTCACAGCTGAGTTGTCCTTCAAAGCCTTTTTAATTAAAAACAAAAACAACAAGCGCCTCCTATGCCTACTCGCTTCTTCATCTCCGTGGGGTGAAAGTATTGCCACATACCTGTAAACTTACATGAGAGTCTAGAGCACGGAGGGGCGGTGGGAGGAGATGGAAAGCACAAACAAATAGTTTACAAGCTCAACAATGTCTCCCTCCCCCCCCTGCCCGGGCTGCAGCGAGCGCTGGCCGGGCGGTGGGTGGGGGTCTGTACAAGAGGGCCCGCTCAGCTGGGCGGGAGGGCTCGTCGGATCGTAACATACACACGATAATGAAGTAACAGTCCTGGGGAGCCGGGGGAGAGGGAGAGCCTCGGCCCCCGAGCTAGGAGGTGTTCAGCACCGGTCTGGAATACACACCTTGGTAGTAGGACGGCTCCAGTGCCGAGGGCTCGATGCTGCCCCTGCCCGCCATGGAGGCGCCGCTCAGGGGCAGCCCGCCCGGGATGGCCGCCCCGTAGGACGAGTACTGCAGCGCCTGCTCGTAGGCTTTGAAGTCCAGCTTGTGCTGCTGCTCCGAGGAGGACATGAGGTTGTTGATGGAGAAGGGGTGGTTGAAGGAGTAGTGGGTGTCCCCCTTCAGGTGCAGCTGGGAGTCGTGGGCCAGGGAGTGCGGGGCGTGCGGGACGGCGGCCAGGGCGGGCACGGCGCTGACGGAGGAGGTGCCGGCC